TCAATGACCGGGGGCTAAATGCGGTGAGAACGACGCAGGGCGTGCTAGCACTCAGCCCATCGGCAGCACGCCGTCCGCCTTGGCGATCACCACGATCCCCCCGGGCGAGATCGTGAAGCCCCGCGCGCGGTCGGCTTCGTGGTCGTAGCCGATCTCTGTTCCTTCGGGCACGTGCACGCCCTTGTCGATGATCGCGCGGCGGATCCGGCAGCGCCGGCCGATGTTGACGCGCGACATGAGGATTGACTCTTCGACGTGGGCGTAGCTGTTGATCCTAGAACTAGGCCCGATCACACACTTGCGCGCCACGCCGCCCGAGAGAATCGCTCCCTGACAGACGATGCTGTCGAGCGCCTCGCCGCGGCGGACGCCGTCATTGCCCTCCTCCTGCGCGAAGACGGTCTTCGCGGGCGGCAAGTTGGGCTGGTGCGTGCGGATCGGCCAGCGGTCGTCGTACAGGTTGAGCTGCGGTTCGACGTTGGTCAGCTCCATGTTCGCCTCGTAGTACGAGTCGATCGTGCCGACGTCACGCCAGTAGGCCTGCTCCCCTTGGTTCTCGTCGCGGAACGGGAACGCGAACACCCGCCGCGTGTCAATGATCGACGGGATGATGTTCTTGCCGAAGTCGTGGGCGCTTTCGGGCAACGTCGCGTCGCGGCACAGTTCGTCGAAGAGGAACGCCGCGTTGAACACATAGATGCCCATCGAAGCCAAGCAGTTGTCCGGATCGCCGGGCACCGTCTTGGGGTTCTGGGGCTTTTCCTCGAAGCCGATGATCCGCTGGTCGGTATCGACCTGCATCACGCCGAAGGCGGTCGCCTCGGCTTTGCTCACCGTCAGCGCGGCGATCGTCAGGTCGGCCTTCTGTTGCTCGTGGTACTGCACGAGCTTGCCGTAGTCCATCTTGTAGATGTGGTCGCCGGCGAGGATCACGACATGGCTCGGCCGCTCTTTCTCGAGCGTGTAGATGTTCTGGTACACCGCGTCGGCGGTCCCCTGGTACCACTGCTCGTCGATCCGCTGCTGCGGCGGCACGACATCGACGAACTCGCCCAGCTCGCGGCAGAAGTAGTCGCGCCAGCCGAGGTTGATGTGCCGATCGAGGCTCATCGCCTTGTACTGCGTCAACACAAGGATGCGGCGCATCCCGCTGTTGAGGCAGTTGGAAAGCGTGAAATCGACGATCCGGTAGTTGCCGGCAAAGGGCACGGCCGGCTTGGCCCGGTCGCGCGTCAGGGGCTCGAGCCGCGCGCCTTTACCGCCCGCCAACACCACCGCCAAAACGTCCTTCATCCTGTACCCCGCTCCGTGGGAATCGCGTGCGTCGCATGAAAAGGGGCCGCGCGGTCCGTGGGCGCAGCCTGGAGGGCGTGCGCGAATCGTGCGGCTGGCAAGTCACCAGTCTACCGCGACGGGCCCGCCGGGATAGACCGGCGCCGCTGAGGGGGAACCCCCGCCGAGAGTGACAAACAGCTGTCGCTCCGGCCCCATCCTTCGACGGCTTTTTCCGCCGCCCGCGATAATTTCCGAGACTTTCATCGACTCCTCCGTAATATCTACTCACGATCCACACACTCGGCTGACATCCTTTTCATCACTGATCGAACGAGCGATCGGCCCCCTCGCCGGAACGAGGTGGCCCGACGCAAGCGACGCCGCAACTGGCCGGGGGCCTGAAGTCGGCGACTCAACGGAACAACGGAGGCCTGCTGTGCGAG